GGAGGAGGAGGAGGAGGAGGAGAAGAGAGAACGTGGGTTGGCTCTCTCCGTCTCTCTCTCTCTGTCAAACGCGAGCTAATCTCTTTAATGCGGCCTTAAACTGGCCGCCTCGAACGAGGGGGAGAACGAGTGGCCCTCGAGACTCGATAAACCCTAAGAAGGAAGGATTAATCCCCGTGAAGAATATTCAATTGCGGTGAATTCCTTTTCCCGGATAATTGTTATCCAGGAAAATGGCACTGCATCGTGCGATTAATGTCGCGAGAGAAGGAAAACGAATGAGACGAGATCGGAGGAGAAGCGCACGAAAACCCGTTTTTCTTCGTACGTGGATTGAAAATCGCGAGCTCGATCGAGTTACTCGAATCGAAGAATTAAGCTTCAGAGCTCGTTTACTTGCCGTGTCGCGTATCGTTCGATATCGTGGAGGAGGAAGAATAAAATTTGAAAATTTTAATTAACGTTGCACAAGTTTGCGCGCAAAGGCTCGACTTTCAAAATCGAAACACGACACGCGCGCGCTCTTCTTCGCGTTCGATCCCATTAAACTTTCGCGTTACAACGTTTCAAAGGAATGGGAGGGAACCGTATCTATTTTCCATCGGTCGAAAGTTTATCGAAATTTCGCCAGAAAATTGGACTCGCGATCCTGAATAAAGTAAACTGCTATGTAATTTTTCATTTCACGCGCACTCGAGTAATTCTCTTGTCCACGCAAATTACGACCTAAATTACGAAAAAACTTTCTATGGGAATATTGGCGAATAAAGATCTAATTTTTGCTCGACGAGAAGAAGAGAAAAGAAGGAAGAGAAATTGATCTTTCGAAGACCGTCGGATCGACTCGAAGGATTAATTCGTGTTGCATTTGGATGCAAATCGGTGACAAATGTTAAAGACTCCCTAAATTTTCCTCGCGAAATTTGCAAGATCTCGGTTTTTCTTCGATGTCCTTGATTCTGGACTTGTTACGGTACCGCTTGGGGGAAATGTAGAAACTCGTCGACTGGCTATGGAAAAATCTGCAAGAAACGAAGCCGTCTTTCCAGATCGATCTCGCGCCTCTCCATATTAGGCTCAAGCTACGACTCGACGATATCTTCGAGTCTTCTCGACATCCGAGCCGCTCATATATCATATAAGTTAAACGAAAATACTAATCGTCTACTTTCTCTATTTCCTCCAAAGATTTCCGTGTTTCTTCGGTCACGGAACACGAGCCGTGTCGTATAATCCATCGGATTTAAAATTGGAGATTAATCGAGCTCGAACGTGTCTCGGGACCGTAAACGAAGACGGTATCTAAGATCCAGAAGAGGGGAAAGATTAGAAAAATTCCCGGGGAAGATGGTGAGAACATAACGAATCGAGGCACACGGAGAACACACACGGTGGGCTCGCGCACATATATCGGGATCTAAATAACGTTCTGACGTTTTAAACCGGCACACGATCGGCCTCCTTTCTAACCTTGATCCCCTGACAATTTTACATTCCTATTCGCTGCGGCTCGTAGGTCATCTATTAAAGGTTTCCTCGACGCGATATCGCGGCTCTCTTTATTATCACCGCGGTTGAAAGCTTTTCCTCATCGATTTATCGAGTTCCACGGAATCAAAAGTAGATTAGATCGACGCGCTATCGATCGTATCGATCATCACCGAAGAACTCTATTACGATCGTTGAACGTTTCTAATTTCCTTCTCTTTTCTTTTTTTTCAACTGCAAAAATTGAAAAACTCGCACGTCATACGTAAACGCTGCGCGTGAAACGAAAATATTAGATTCGCGTGTGGGAGAGAAAACTCGTGCGTTACCAATGGCCGTGACCGAGTAACAGGACTATAGGGCAAGTGTTTGTCGTAAGTCACCCCTCGCGAATCCTTCCCAGAGCCGTTCATCGATTAAAACGTAACAGTTCTCTCCTAGTTTTCGGTTACCGTATTTAACGATCACTTAAACGTTGGAAATTTGTGTGTGTGTGTGTGTGTGTGTGTGTGTGTTACGCGATTATGAGATCCGAGGCTTTCGAGTTTAATGCGTATTTAACAGGAAATAACATTGGTTAACGAGAGAACAAGTTGCGTTGAGAAAATATAGGACGAAGCGAAATCGTAAACTGAAAAATTTGGATCGATCCCGAGTATTACGTTTCGTGTATTACGTCCCGTGTTTACTACGTTGGCGAGGTATAATGAGTTGTTGTGAAAGGACGCGAGAAAAAGGATAGTCGGCGCACAAGAAACGCATAAACGAGGAGAGGAGAGCCGAAAGCTTAAAACGCGAGAATGTATGCGTATACACGGAAAACAGTTGCGTTGTCTCCTCCCATGAAATAAAGCGGAGATACTGTTAGCTATTCTACAGGTACGAAACCCTTTGGTATCGATGCATTACACACGTAGTAGAACATGGACAATAGCCATTGAATTAGCGATACCATCGACTCCCCTGTTCCGACACGACGCGACCGGACCATGGAAAACTAACCAACCCATATCATCCGTACAAATTACATCAACAATCTCGAAAGCCTCGAATATCTATATAAAAAAAAAAGTAAAAAAAAAAAAAAGAAGAAAATAAAAAAAACGATCCGCAAAAACAGAAACACCGTTGTGTCGCACGTTCGCGTATCGCAAGTGGCGAAAACAAAACCGTGAATGATTTGGCTTACTGTGAACCATTGCAGCCCGCTCTTGCCTCGAATGCCGTGGATCGTCTCGCGGATCATCGAAGCCGGTTGAACAGCTGTCACGAGGCTGGCAAAATGCTCGAAGGATGCGCGACAAAGAGAAAAGAGAAAGAGGAAAGAGAGGAAACCGGTCCGCTGATACACCGTGCCGCGCTCGTCGACCAACTGCGTGGCTTTGCGGCCGCCTTCGGCACCGAGCCGCGCTCATCGCCGAGTTCGACTCTGCTCGGTTTCGTTCGCCGCCACTCGGCTCCCTTCGGCGTCCCTCGACCAGCAGCCGAAATGCGACGAGCGGCTCGCTCTCCCTTGCCGGCTAGCCGGCAACTTTCACGGGGGATGCGTGGACAGAAGCTGAATTAAATAGATTAGGATCTTCATCGAATCCCCGGGACCGACGAATTACCTCCACCAGCCCCATATTATACTCCACAGACCGGCTTCGATTCTCTGTGCGGTCAGAAACGTCTCTCGCGTAATTCGATTTGCGCGCCGATTCACCGTCCGCCGTGGATAACACGCGTGGCCATTTGATCGAACGCGTTTCGGTGAACGTTGAGTTTTCGGGGCTTGGCACCGCGATTTTTTCTTCCAACGTTCGCCATGGAAATTAATATGTTCTACTCGATAAAGTAATATCTCGAACCATTGTATTATTTTTCCATTTATTTCCACTTCTTTTTTTCTATTCTATTCGCTCACGTAATTTTTAGCCCAATTTCAGAAATCTCGTTGCTTTACTTTGGAATAAAAAGAAAAAAGAAGATGAGAGATGGGGGCAACACGGCTCGACGATTATTCCGTACACGCTACAGTTAATTACACGTATGTCCTACTCCGTTTCCATTCCGTGTAATTTTCCTGGTATCTCGGGAAAAATTGTCTCGAAATCTCTATCTCGCGCGAGCATCTTGACTCGTAAAAGGTAGAAATGATTTCTTTCGAATCCCTATATATCCCTTCGCGGGCGATATGAATTATTTACCAAAGATTTCTGATAAAACTTCGACAATTTTTGCGGAGGTTCTCTCCTTTATCTCCCGCGGAAAATTATTCAATTGAAACTTCCGATTTGAATAAACCTTTTGAACGCATCTCCGTTTTATTTCCGCTCGTTTAACCGTGAAATCATCGGGGCGCACGAATCGGGAGAGAGACAGAAAGAGAAAAAAACGTCTCGTCGGAAACGAAAGTTGTACAGGAATGAAAAGATCGTATAGATAATTTTAATTGCTTCTCGTTTCGTGGAGATCCGAACGAACGAAGCGTCGACATTTTCGTACCTATTGGAATTCGTATACAATATTATACATCTACAATTTATACACCTAAGTGAAAAAAACGTTGAAAAACGTTCAATGCGGATAGAAACCGGAGAAGGGGAACAAATTCCTCGCGTAGTAGCATGTAGACATTTAGCTTCCAGGTTATGACGCGCGCATCCCAATAATCTAACGCGACCCATAATTCGGCTGCTCAAATCCCGTTCTTGTCCGGCGGACAGATTGGCTTGCATAATCAACCGTCCCTCTATTGTCCCGTGCTCGCCTCTAAACACGTGAAACTTGGCGCGAAACACGATCGATCCAAACTCGAAATTACATCCTAGAGCCGTATGCAAGGAGAGAGATGCAAGGAAGCACGTATATCCCTATCTTGTTCCTCCAATTGTTCAAAATAAAATCCAGCAACGGATTTTTCGTTTTTGGGAACAGGGAGGAGAGCGAAGAGAAGAATCGATTCGCGAAAATTCGGTTAGAGATCGATTCGATCGATCGAAGGAAGCCCTCGAAGCCGGCCAAGTTAATTTAATCGACGATGAACGCGGCGAGTTCGAGCAGCTTCGTCAACCGAGATCGCGTTCCCCGCATTGTCGCTGCCGATTGAGCGACTCCTCGCGTGAACTCTGTCGCGCCACGTCGTACTTCGAACACCGGCTTACGCGCCAGTCCTCTCCAATTACGGGAGAAGCTTCCGGTTTGAACCGCGACTCACCCACCGGTCTTCGTTTCTCCCCGTAACTCGGCTATTCCGATAAGGAACCGATGAAGGTGTTGTTCACGGCCCACCTTTCTCGCCCTTTCCTCGTCATTTCCAATGAATTATTCAACGAAAGACGAAATCTCTGGAGAGAGAGAGAGAGAGAGAGAGAGAATGAAAATGGATCTATCCACTTGCACGATTTCTTCCATCTTCTGTCGGAACAAGGGGGAACGAGGATTTCAGTCATACACGCGATCGGATTACGAATTTTAAGCTTCTCCTTAAGAATTTCCTTCGAGGATCTTTCGAGTCTCCTCGAAATCTTTAATCACGGATCATTGGATTCCTATTCAGGGCGTTTTTTCTTCTCTCGCAATTTCGTTCGCGCAACAATCGTTTGTTTATCAGCCTGCTTTCCCAGCGGCGAAATTTACGTCCATTCGTTAACAAAATCCTCGATTGTTTGTCGATACACGTGTCCCGCGGGTAATTCGCGTAATTCAGCCAAATTTCCAGCCCGGTCTACATTACGTCGAGTACGCAAAGCTCGATTATCCGATATAACAATTTCGAAGCGGCTTATTGCTTTTTGCAGCTCGTATATTTGTCGGACGGATTCGGAAAAGCCGATTCGAAAAGCCGGATTCGAAGAGCGGTTAATATTTTTTTAGGCAAAAAAAAAAAAAAAAAAAAAAAAAAAAAAAAAAAAAAAAAAAAAAAGAAAGAAAATGAAATTTTCAGCGATTTGTCCGCGTTTCTGTTCGAGGCTCGAGCGTGTCGCGGACAGCGCATAAAAATGCAGGGGGGCGCGTAACAACAATGAAAATAGTTAGGATGCAAGGACAAAGGTTGGAGAGAGAAATTTTCACGGTATGGCGGTTTTCGAAAGCTCGATAAGTTCGACGTCGAATATTATTTTAACGCGGTTCGCTTGCCTTCTACACCATCCAATCCGTGTGCGCGGGCCCATGGGCTGGTGGTTCATTTATTCCTCGTTTATCCTTTACGATCTTTCGACCAGAAGGAAAACATGGATACGAGGATACTCCCCCATAAATTAAGGAAATTTGTCCTTAAGAGAGAGAGAGGAAGATAGATACGCGACGAATTTACATTACGATTTTTCTTCTCCCTCCTTCTGACCCAGTTTCACGGAAATACGAGCGATCTAAGACGGGTTATGTCAGCCACCTCGTCCGGATAATGAATCGTGCGCGAATGTCAACGGAATATGCTCCATCTCTGGACGTGTATCCAATTATTTACATAGGTGGGTTCGATTGTATCCTCGGAGATTCCCCCTTCTCGTTAATCGTGGACAGAATCGATTCGATGATCGAAAGACGATTTTCTCGGAAAGAGGATAAGAGCGAGCGAGCGAGAGAGAGAGAGAAGTCTCGAAAATGATTATCAAATTTGCTCGTCCGGCAATTGGGTCAGCGATGTTTTTCCAGCAATTTCTGCTCCATCAGTTTTTACGTTGCTCTTTGTGCTCCCTCGACGAGGCTTTTTTGATGCTTCCCATTGATCCACTCTATACATACTTTATCCGTGATTGTAATTGGACGGGTCCGAAAATGGTATGGAGAGGTAATTATCAAAATTGAATCGGGTTGATTGAAACTCCTCGAATCCCGTCCCGACAATTTCAACCGGGGATGATAACGTACCGTGAAAACTCGCTCCTCCCCGAACAAAGGATCGGTCCTCGAACGGTCCTTAATTTCCAACGTTGAAGGAAAACAGACGTGGCTTCCGCGCGCCTCTTTCCAACGCTTCCAACGCTTGTCCCCTCTTCAATCCTTCGCGCAGGCATCTCCATTTCTTACACTCGCGCGCGCGACCGAGTCTAGGCGTCCTATCCTTCGTCGAGTGGAAATCCCTTTGGTATTTGGTTCGAAATCCGGACAATCGGTGGTTGATGGCGAGGGCCTTGAATCGAAGGCGCGAGCACGCAGCTGGATAAAAAGACCCGCGTGCGTGCATGCGTGCGTGCCTGCCTGCCTCTCGATTGACGTGGGAACATGGAAGCGTATAATTAAGCGAGTGAAAATAATCGTGTTTCCTTCCTCCGTCCAATTCCGTCCCTCGTGGAAACGTGGCTCGCTCGCTCGTTTAATAATTTCATTTCGAAAAACGACCAACCGCGAGGAGGAGAAGATTTCGAAATCTTTCGTCTCCTCCCAGCGTACCCTTCTCCCGCGAGGAGGAGGACAACTTCTCCCGTGAAAATGAAATCGCGTTTCCAAATTCCCGTCCAACTAATTAACCAAACTTTCCGCTGGGTTTGGAAATCGGCCCAAAGTGGCGGTGGAGCTAAAAGCGCTGGAAACATGCAAATTCTCCTCCCTCGACGACCATTCAATATTTAAATATCGTATCGAAATTGTAGATACAGAGCCGTGAATACGCGCGGGATGCGCAGAGTTTTGGCGAGGGGAGAGCAACGATCGGTAATCGGTAATCGCCAGTTCTACGCGATTACTTGCAGTGAATATTTTAGCAGGCGGCCAGTAATCCGATAACGGCGCCGTTTCTGTTCGACCAAACGCGCGAGCGTTGCCTCGTTACGTAGTTTTTACGTAGGTCGAGAA